TCTCTCAGCTCTCTCTCTAAAGCTTCTGTCCCCAGTCTCTCCTCAGGTGTCTCTAGCCCACACTGCCCCCACCTTTGCCAGAACCTAGAATAAGTGGCTGCAAATGAAAACTTGCGCATTGGCTCTTTAAATGGTTCTTCGCATCTCCAGCCGTCTGTCTCTGGCAAAGAGCAACCCTGCCATTTTTTTTCCACTGGTTGTTATCTGTGTACTTTTGGGACTCTGGTACTTTAGGCTGGGGATCCCAGCTTAGAGTTTAGACCCCACTCTTCCCACGGGGATCCAACCAGCCATTTAATTATCCCTCCAATGCTGGTGCCTGTGGGCACCCTGCCAGCCTTATTGAGTCTGCACTGCACTCCTTAATATTCAGGTTGTGCTGAAGCTGATTCTTCTGTCTATCCATGGTTATAAGGCTTCTCTCTTGCTACTGTTCAGTTATTTGTTCTGCATGATTCTTCCACAACTTAGTTATAATTCCAGATTGGTCCTGGGAGGATGTTAGTGTGGCTTCCATTCACTCCTCCACCATCTTACACCTCTCACTACCATTTTTAAGCACCTCCTCCATATTTATGTTTTATTATTATCTTTGACTTCTTTTCTGTGTGTGTTTTTGTGCATCCCATAATTTATCTTTGTAATTCTACATGATCTTTCTACTTTTGCATTTTTTCCCTTGAACTAGATCTGTACTTGTTTTATCTACTGCTTTGCTAAGAATTTGTCTTCATCAGTGAATATTTTTTCTTTCCTATATTTTTCTTACTCATATTTTTTTATCTTTTTCTACTGAAGGAAATCCCTTTAATATTTCTTGTAATACTAATTAAATGAGAATGAACTTCTTTCGCTTTTTCTTGTCTGGGAAACTTTTTATTTCTCCTTGCATTGTAAAGAATAACCTTGATGAGTACAACAGTCTTGGTTGTAAGTTCTTGCATTTGATCACTTTGAGTATTTTGTGCCAATCTCTTCTGGCCTGCAAAATTTCTGTTGAGAAATCCACTGACACTCTTATGGGAGCTCCTTTTGCAAGTAACTAACTGTTCTCTCACTACTCTTAAGATTCTCTCTTTGTCTTTTACCTTTGACATTTTAATTAAATGTGGACCCCTCTGGGTTCATCTTTTGAGGAGCTCTCTGTACTTCCTGAACACTTATGTCTATTACTTCACAAGATTAGGAAAGGTTTTAGTCATTATTTCTTCAAAGAGGTTTTTAATACTATCTTCTCCACCTGATATACCTATGATGTATCCAGGAAGGAATCTCTGGGACAACATCAAGTGTTATCTCAAAGATCCCTTACACTATCTTCATATTTTTCTCTTTTTGCAGCTCTAATTGTGTGTTTTCCACTACCTAGTCTTCCATATCTTTGATTTGATTCTCTTTCATCTAATCTAATGCTGATTCCTTCTAATGTAGTCTTCATTTTATTTTTGTCTAATATTTTATTTTTTTCTTTATTATATTTTCCATTATCATTTAGTCCTTTTTATACTCCCTCTTCCCAGAAATCACCACACTGTTGTCCATATCCGTGAGTCCTTTCCTTTTTTGTCAGTCCCTCCACACTCTCACTTCCCCTCCAGTTAGCCATCCTCTTCTGACTGGCTTATTTCACTTAGCATAGTATTCTCCAGGTTTATCCATAACATACTGTTACAAAGGGTAAAATTTTCTTCTTTTATGGCTGAGTAATATTCCATTGTGTAAATGCTCCATAGTTGTTTTATCCACACATCTACTGAGAGACACTTTGGCTATTTCCGTATCTTGGAGACTGTAAACAATGCTTCAGTGAATGTGGAAGTACTTATGTTCTTCTGAATTAGTGTTTTGGGTTGCTTAGATATATTCCCAGAAGTGTAATCACTAGGTCAAAAGGCAGATCCATCTTGAATTTTTGGAGGTATCTCCATACTGCTTTCTACAGTGGCTGTACCAGTCTGCATTCCTAGCAACAGTGCATAAGGGTTTCCCTTTTCTCCACGTCCTTGCCAGCACTTGTTGTTTGTTGATTTATTGATGATAGCCATTCTGACAGATATGAGATAATATCTCTGTGGTTTTAATTTGCATTTCTCTGGTGATTAGTGACATTGAGCATCTTTTCACATGTGTATTGCCCATCTGTATGTCCTCTTTGGAGAAATATCTATTCAGGTTCTTTGCCCAGTTTTTAATTGGGTCATTTGTTTTTTCAGTGTTGAGTTTTATACGTTCTTTATAACATTTGGATATTAACCCCTTATCAGATGCATTGACAAGTTCTTTCATTCTGTGTTGTCTTCATTTAAATGAAGACTTATTGTGTTCATCATTTTTTTGTATTCTTCATTTTTGACTGGTTCTATTTTATGGTTTCTATCTTTTTGTCAAGCTTATCCCTGAGTTAATGTATTCTTCTCTAAGTTCATCGAGCATCCTTACAAGCAATGTTTTGAACTCTGTATCTGGTATATTGCTTACTTGTCTCCATTTTGTTTAGTTCTTTTTCTGGGGTTTTGTTTCATTCTTTCATTTGGGATATGTTTCTGTGTCTCTCATTTAGTCTGCCTTTCTGTCTTTGTTTCCTTTTTTAGGTTGATCTGCTATCTCACAGTTTGGGCACAGTGGCCTTATGTAGTATTTGTCCTATGAGGCCCAGTGCCACAGTTGCTCTGTTCACCTGAGCTGGGTGCACTGGGAGTGCCCCTTGTGTGGCCTGTGCGTGCCCTCCAATTGTAGCTGAGCCTTGATTTCTGTTGGCATGTCAGTGGGTGGGATTGGCCCTCACTTTGACTGGCTATGAAGGCTGGCCATGACTACAGTGGAGAAGCTGTTGTGCAGGGACTGACCCACAGAGCAGGGGTCACTTTAGTGTAGCTCAGGTGCCAGCTGAATCTGCCCTTCAAGTGTGTCATTGTGGAGCCAGTTTGTTCGGTGGTTCTCTGTTGTTGTTTGAAGCTGGCCACCAGGTATGTTGGTTCTGCAGCCTCGTAGAAGTGGCTCCAGTGCAAACAAATGTTGGCTGCTATTAGCACTTGGCTCGGGGCTGCCTGGTGTCAAATCCAAAGTGATCTGTAGTTGGTTGCCTTTTGTACTAGGCTTGAATGCACTTGGGAGAGGCTGTCCTGCAAACCAAGGCTGGGTGCCACTAGTGCCAAGCTTTTAGAAAGTACCACAATGTGAGCTGAGGCCAACCACCTCTTGTACCATTAGCAGTCACTTAGTTGAAGCTACATTCTCCACCAACAGTGGCCACAGCTTATGCCAGGCTTGGGATCACTTAGTGGGAGTTAAAATGCCCGTTAAGACTGGTTACTGCTTGTGCTAGACTTCGGGCTGCTTTGCAAGTAGTATAGCACACTCTGAGGCCAGATACTACTAGTCTGGGGCTTGTGGACTTTTGAGAGATTTTAGAAACATCTGTAGCATGAGCTGAGTTAGGCCACTTCTATGGAAAAACCACTGGAAGTGTCTCAGGCCTGATGCAAAGTTGAATGGACATGGTCTCAGGAAATCACCAGGGAAGGGCAAACAGTATTAGCCAGGTTAATGAAGAGCTCAGATTCGGCATCGGCCAGCATCTGCAAGCAATTTCATCCCTGGACAGAGCTGCCCTGCCCCCTGCCCCTTCCAGCCCTCCACCTGAAACTAGTTAATTCAGTTTCTCCATGTATGTCCCTGGCACTGTTCAAGCTGCTGCCCCATACTGGATCCCAGAGCAAGTGGTTTTGTGACCAAGAGGAATGCCTGGGACTTACTGACACCATCTCATTCACATACAATCACTGCTGGTTTTCACAGCCAAATGTTATGGGGACTCCTCTTCCTGGCACAAGTGCCCCAGGCTGGGAAGTTCAGTGTGGGGCTGGAACCCCTCAGTTTTCAGCATGGAACACACTGCAGCCAACACATTTCTCCCAATTCTTAATCAGCACATGGTGAGTGTGGGTCCTGCCCCTTCCCAGTTTCAATCCCTCCTACTGGTCTTTTTGTAGCTTCTTTGTATTACTAGTGATAAGACTTCAGTTCAGCTAGTCTTCACATGGATCTCAATTTGTTCGATAATTTAGTTATAATTTTGATACGGTTATGGGAGCACATGGGCACAGCATTTACTTACTCTGCCATCTTGACTGGAAGTCTAACTGGGGCTTTTCATTTGAGTAGAGGTAATAGAAAAGAGAAAGAGGTGAATATCATAGCTATCATGCAGGGAGAATTGGTTGAAAATATGAGTTAAATATTAACCCAATGCCAGTCAAATAATAGGAACTCGATACATTACAGTTTTCCTTTGATTTCTTTAGACTTTTCCATACTTGGTAAGAGAAGTAAAGCTGGACTCACATAGGCCAAAATAAAACAGAATTGGACTCAGGTCAATTTCATGACATTGGACACTGGAAAATGTTTTAAAAAATTGGAAAACCAGGGATTCTTGAAAGAACTTCATTGAAAGTTGACCATGTAGTCAAGACTGAGTAGGAAGATTTTGGAGGATGTGACCTTTTGTGAATAAAAGATGCTGTCCTTGATTAGAGACTTCAGTTACCTGAAGGGCCACCTGAAAATGCCATTCTCTGCCGTGTGAGCAGGAGCACTGGAGGGGTGATTCCACCCGACACTGACAAAGTGATGGTTTGGTGACATACCATGTTTCCCTGCTTCTGTCAGCAAATCCTATACCCATAAAAATGAGATTAAGTACAAATGTAAAAACAGCCTAAAAGTATGTTTTGAATACATTACTGAATGTGAAGTGAAATTCAAACAGCATGTAAAGTACTGGAGGGAAAATAAACCAGCATAATAATAAGCCCAGTGACATACTGTAAAGCAGTTATTTTCCACTAAAAGATACTCTTTTAACCACTTAAAAAAATGCCAGTACTCTAGTGTCAGCAAATATTCTTGTATTCATCATTATAGATTATGAAAATTTTATTTACAGATCATTCAGTACTTTGCTTTTATACACTGTTTCCTTTTATAGTTATGTACAATATTATGCTTTAAGAAATCAAAAATCATATTCTAGGTAATGTGCACTGACATGAAACAATTATATTTCATGATTTGTCAGTGAGTTTATGGTTCACATCATTTTCTCTTGCATTTATCTATTTCTACCCACCCAAACAAATGTTACATTTTTATAAAAATTTGCTGTCAATAGTTTAAATGTACAAATGCCTTCAATTTCCATTTTTGTCAGATATTACAAAAATGTTCAATATTGAAAATATGTGTGGCTCACTAAATAGGTATATTTTTTAAAATACTATTAAACAAGTCAACTGATTGGCAAATAGGAAAACATTATCATATTTGAATTATTCAGAGCTATGTCTTTCAATGTGTGATTTCCAGGCAGAAAAGGAGGAAAGCTTCTAGCCTAATGGAGAGACAGGCAGACAGCTTCATCCACGAAACTTGTTCATGTAGAAATGTTTCTATCATCTTCTTCCAGTCCTACAAAGACAAATTATGAATGACCTCTCTTCAAATGATCAGAATTTGTAAAATATTTCTTTTGAAAATTTAATGTTCATTTAAATTTTAGTGTTTATTGTTATATAGATACTCTTTGGATCACTTTTCTCTACCTGTATTTCTGCACTTTGTAACACAGATTCCCACCTACTATTCTTCAACATAGTGTCCTGAGTAGAGCAGTTGGCTGGGAAACCCTGAATTCCAGTGTAAGCTCCAACAGTAAGGGTTGTAATGTTTGGGGCAGGATCTTAACTTACCCAAAAGTTCCTGTCTTGCTTTGCCTTAGATCTTACACTCCTTCATAACTCAGTGCTATCTGTAAAACAAAACTAAACTAAAACCAACACATAGTATCAAATATTAAAAATGTTAAATTACTTGGGATCTTTTAGGGGAAAAAACAAACAACTGCTTTGGTGAACATCAGCCAAAAATTTATTTTTCTCAAATATCAACCTCTGGGATATATATCTATGGAGTAATAAACCCAAACCCTGAGCTCTGCTCTTTTTAGTAGCATATTCTATCTAGAGGATCTGGAAAGCTGTTCAGAGACATTTGGAGTTGATGTATTATGTAACAGAGTAGGGCAAGAATGCTTACAGAGGAACGTCTGGCTGAAAAGTTGTCCCATGTCATCACTTTCTGCAATGCTGAGGGAAAAACAAGTCCAAACACACAGCCATTGGAGCAAGCATAAATTTACTCTGGTAGCTGTGCTTGGCAGTGCTCTAGAAGGGCAGAATTCCTTTCAATATGCCTGTTTAAGCAAACTACAATCATTTAAATAAATATTTTATACCATTGCCACACAAAAATATCATATGCATTATATTACCAAGACACTGCTCCTTTTGAAATTGCTAGAGTATGTTAGATCCCTGCCTGTCTTCTTCCTGGTGCCAGCGATTAGTAGCTGGGATTCCTCCTTTCTGGAAAACATACAGTGTTCAGCATATGTGCTAGATCTCTGGTGCAGCACAACCACCAATTGTCTCCTCAGTAGTCGCTGACTTCCTTCTGTGAATCCTAGCTCTTAGTTCACTAGTTCTGTGGGAACCTCACTTTAGGCTTGAAAAGGGCATTGGCTGGGTATCCAGGCATGTGAGAAGTTAACAGACTATTGCACTTAACACTCAGTCTTGTAAGAGCCATTCACATGTCCGCACTGCCTTTCTGAGGTCAGGATTATACCTATCATGCACATTGCTGTATCCTCAATAGGTGGTGAACATGCTTAAACAAAGTACTGCCTCTTAGTGAGTACTCGATGAATATTCAGTGAATGAGTACAATGCAGTCAAAATGCTTATAAATGGATAATTACCACCTTGTTAAGATGTCCGGTACATAGATACTTCCCAGATTTCTGGGTGAGAGCTGCTGTAAAGAGAAATAGGATGCATCTGAAGATAACAGGGCCCTGACTGGTGTGGCTTCACTGGTTCAGTGTTGTCCTGAAAAGCAAAAGGTCACAAAGGTTCCATTCCTGGTCAGGGCACATGCCTGGGTTGTGGGCCTGGGCCCCAGTCAGTTCACTAGTTCTGAGAGGCAACCAATCAGTGTTTCTCTCCCTTTCTTTCTCCCTCTGTTCCCCTCACTCTAAAAATAAATAATAAATTTTTAAAAAATCTATAACATAAAGTTAACACCAATCCATCATATTATTACTTTTTGGACACTCTCCATCAAGGGAGGTGAAAATAACAATGGGTTCTCAGCTCCATGCTCAATGTTTCATGTGAATTATTATAGATATTAGAGTCCCTATTATAGGTGAGGGAATTGAGTGACCGATTTTCTAAATTAGTACATGGCAGAGGTAGGATAAGAACTCCAAATCCAATATACTCTTTCTACCATATCTCATACCTATATCACAAGCGGACATATTAATAAAAGAAACCAGTACTCTCATTTTAATGGTGGCATGACCTTTCTCCATTATCTATTCATACTATGCTTCCCCTTTCTTTTCTTTTTTTAGATTTTATATATTTATTTTCAGAGAGAGGAGAAGGAGGGGAGAAAAAGGGAGAGAAACACTGATGTACAAGAGAAACAGTCGGCTGCCTCTTGCACACTTCCAACTGGGGACCTGACCCACAACCCAGACATGTGCCCTGACTAGGAATCAAACCAGTGACCTTTTGGTTTGCAGGCTAGTGCTCAATCCACTGAGCCACACCAGCCAGGGCCCCTTCTCTATTCTATTACAATGTCCTAAATTTATCTCATATGGGATTTTGTGTAGAGCATTGATTATTCTCAAATTTTAATGTGTTAATAAACTGCCTGCAGATCTACTCCAAATGCAGAAGGCTCTGGTTCAGCAGATCGGGGGTTGGGGGGAGGGTTGCTGGAAGTCTGCATCCTAACAAGCTCCCAACAAGGTGCTGAGGATGCTTCTGGTCCTACTTTGGGTAGGACCATACTTTGGGTAGCAAGGATGTAGATTAGTGTTATATTTACTGGTAAATGGAAAAAATTTTTGGATGATGTAGACTCTGACTCAATAGTGCTGATTCATGTTATATAAAAGCTGAATCAGATAGAGCAGTTCAAACAGCAGCAACACAGAAACTATAGTGCAGAAGTTGCCTGCCCAGAGTCTGTACTGGTGGCCAAATTGTAGTATGATCTTTTATAGTTATATGCTTCTATGCAGGATATTTACAACTGCTCAATAAGATAGGATGGGTATTAAAATTCCTGGCACTGGTGGCTTCTGGCCATGATAGAGGCATAGGTAGACATGCTTTGCCCCCTCCTGCAACCATAAGAAGGGTCACAGCAAACTTCAAAACTAAAAACAACCCAAACTACCAGAAAACCAAGCTGTATGAAAGTGTAACATCCAAGGATTTAAAGAAGAAATAGTCATCCAGATGGGTAGGAGCAGAGGCAGAGAGCCAGAGCAGAGAGGACACAGTGCAGCGGCAGCGAGGTGGTGTTGGCCAGGTGGGCAGTCCCACACTCATGTTTGGTAGATTAAAAACTGGGAGGGACACCTGGGAAGCAAACAATCAGACTGTACAGTCCAGGGTTTCAGTGAAGGTACAATAAAGCCTTATAACTTCTGGCTGTAGAAACCAATGGGGGTCAGGCAGGTGAAAGAAACTGCCAGTCTCTCAGAAGAGTCCACTTAAAGGACGTGTTCTGTCCTAGAATATATGCAAACCCACATACTGTGGGATTCAGCACCACGGAAGCAGCCAGAATGGCACCAGTTGCATACAGGAAGTGGAGAAGTGACTAGAAACTGGGCAAGAGCTGAACAAGCCTCCCACAGCCAGACAGCAGTACTGTCCCCTCTCCAACTCCTCCCCCACATACAGTGCCACAAAGTGGCAAAGTGGGTTGCCCTGCCCTGGTGAATATCTAAGGCTCTGACCCTTTCAATGCAACAGATGAATCAAGTCAGGGAGTCAAAGCAGTTCTACCTGATACACAGGAAACAAACACAGGGAGGCTGCCAAATTGAGGAGACAAAGAAATATGTTCCAAATGAAAGAACAGATCAAAACTCCAGAAAAAGAACTAAGTGAAATGGAGATAGCCAACCTATCAGATGGAGAGTTCAAAACACTGGTGATGAAGATGCTCCGAGAACTGACTGAGTACAGCAAACACATAAGGGAAGAAATAAGGACTACACTAAGTGAAATAAAGAAAAATTCTCAGGGAATCAACAGTGAAGGGAAAGAAGCTGGGGTTCCAAATCAACAAGTTGGAACATAAGAAAGAAATAAACAGTCAACCAGTACAGAATGATGAAAGAAGAATTTTAAAAAGAACACAGAGAGAATAAGAAGCCCCTGGGACATCTCCAAATGTGCCCACATCTGGATCACAGGGATGCCAGAGGGAGAAGAGGAACAGGAAGAAATTGAAAACTTATTTGAAAAAATAATGAAAGAAAGCTTCCCCTAATTTGGCAAAGGAAATAGACATACAAGTCCAGGAAGCACAGAGAGTCCCAAAGAAGTTGGACCCAAAGAGGACCACACCAATGCACAGCATAATTAAAATGCCAAAAGTTAAAGATAAAGAGAATCTTAAAAGCAGCAAGAGAAAAGAAGAGAGTTACCTACAAAGGAGTTCCCATAATACTATTGGCTGATTTCTCAAAAGAAACTTTGCTGGCAAGAAGTGTTCAAAGTGATGAAAAGCAAGGACCTACAACCAAGATAACTCTATCCAGCAAAGTTATCACTTGGAAGGGCAAAGTGCTTCCCAGACAAAGTAAAGCTAAAGGAGTCCATCACCACCAAGCCCTTATTATATGAAATGTTAAAGGGACTTATTTAAGAATAAGTAGATCAGCCCTGGCTCGTGTGGCTCAGTGGATTGAGTGCTGACTTGAGAACCAAAGGGCTGCTGGTTTGATTCCCAGTCTGGGCACATGCCTGGGTTGCTGACCAGGTCCCTATTAGGGGGTGCATGAGAGGCAACCACACATTGATGTTTTTCTCCCTCTCTTTCTCCCTCCTTTCTCCTCTCTCTAAAAATAAATATGTAAAAACCTTTTTAAAAAAGAAAAAGAAGATCAAAACCATGAGCAGTAAAATGGCAAAAAAACTCACAACTATCAGCAACTGAATCTAAAAAACAAACTAAGCAAACAACTAGAACAGGAACAGAATCATAGAAATGGAGATCACATGGAGGGTTAGCAGTAGGAAGGGGGATCCGTTAAAATGGAAGAAAAGCTACAAGGATTAAGAAGAACAATTGGCAGGTACAAAATAGATAGGGGGGAGGGTAAGTATAGTATAGGACATGGAGAAGCCAAAGAACTTATATGCATGACCCATGGACATGAACTAAGGGGGGTAGATTACTGGAGGGAAAAGAGGTACCAGAGAGAGCAGGGTAAAGGAAAAAAAAATGGACACCTGTAATAGCATAGCCAATAAAATATACTTAAAAAATAAGATTCCTGGCACATAAAATGCCCAATAAATTTTGGGTATTTTTATCCTCGTTTTATAGATAGAAACTGAACCTTGGAGAGATTAACTGTTGATCAAGCTGATGTTCAACCCCACGTCATCTGACTACAGCAGCAAAATGCTTCCCTGCCCACCTGATCCTCTCCAGCTGCTATTTGCTTTTCTGGATTGTAGATAATTCCCTTTCTCCCCCTTGTCATTTAAGCCTCCTATCCTTTCAAGTATGTAACTCATAGTCACTTATTATGGCTTAATAAATATTAATAAATATCATGTTAGCAATGTACTCAAAAAGATTTAAAAGGTGAAACAAAATCAATTAATTTTCTCATTCTCTCATTTCTTATTCTTCTTAAATAAGTGGTCAGATTCCATCCCATCTACCCACACACCTTTAAAAGATTATTTATAGCTTTTAAAAGCCTTTCCCATCACCCTTTTTCTCTCCTGCTGGGCGCTCTTCATTTCACTCCCATAGCAGCTCTAAATTAGCCTATTGAAATAATATCGCTTGTTAAGGTCTTGTGGTGTTTATGTCAGAGAGAAAGAAGGCAGTTGACAGATAGTCAGCTAGAAGCCTGTTCCAGTTCTTGCAGAGATGTGCTTTCTTCTGGATTTTATACATGAAAATTGGGGAGCCACCCACCTCCCACTTTAATGTCAGTCCCTCATATTGGATATGGATAGAGTTGAAAGTGAACTTAGAACAGTGAGGCTGCTACCATAAAAAAAAAAACACCTTAAAAGGCTCCAAAGTTAACGGGCTTCGGTTGCATTTTGAGATGAGGCAGCATTACATGGTGACCAGTCATACTAAAGCCATTTTTGTCCAGGGGCAACTCTTCCTCTTGGTCACTGTTTATTAACATTCATTCCTAGAGGGATAACAACACTAGAAGCTTAACTTACATTCTCCTCTCTAGACCTATAAAGTACAAAAGGACCTAATTAAAAATTAAACCAAAAACACCAGTAAACACATTTTAAAGGTGGTTTTTTTTTTTGGCCTCCTATAGTCTAAAGTGAATGAAAATAAAAGCCAGAGAAGATAACATTTATTGTACACTTTGTATCAGGCACTGTCTTAAGAGCTTTAAACCTCACAATAATCTTTTGAGTACTTTTACTATATCCCCTTAAAAGATTTAAAAAAACAGACTTTTCGGGAGGTTCAGGAACTAGCTCAAACTCAGGGTTGCTAAGCCAGAAATTTAAATCTAGGCAGTTGAACTTCAGGTTTAAGATCTTAACTTTTGTTCTACTGTATTTCCCCAAATGCTGAGATGTTGTTTGTCTGTGAGAATTTCAGAGACAAACCTATTTTAATTTCCAAAAAAGAAAAACTCCCATTCAAAGCAGCTAAGTAAAAGGGGGTACTTTAATGGCACCTATCAGCAACTTACAGAATGTGTTGATATCAGGAACAGCTGGATCCAGGGACTTGCACACTATCAGGAGTCTCTCTGTGTGTTCCTTGCTGAATGTCAGACTCTTCCAAACCAGCTATGGGAGTCCACATGGTGGGTCATTTGGGGAAGCTCCAGTTTCACATCCTAAAATGAGCCCAGAGGAAAAAAATAACCATCCCTCACAGCTCAGATAAGAAAATTCACAGAACAACTCTGATTGACCCAATTTAGATTATGTACGCATCCCTGGGTCAATCCCAGTGGCAAAAGAGATAAAGAACTATGATTTACCCTGTCTGGGTCACATGCCCACCCCTGTGACCTGGAGGGCTGGGTCTGTATCAGAAGAGGGCAGAAAGGTGCTAGACAAAAAATAAAATAGTTGTAAACTACCTCTTTAGTCTACAAAGTGCTCTCATATGATTCATGCATCGTGAGTCTCACAACCACCCTATGAAGAGGGCAGGTTAAGTATTACTAAAAAAATGTGGGCTACCATTGTATTCACATGTTTACTGCACATCACTGAACACTCCACGAGTACAGTGTGTCCAGAGCTGAGCTCATCACCTTGCCACTTCACTGACTCTCACTTCTGCTTTCTTCCTTTGTTGGTGGCACCATTATCAACATTGACCCCTAAGCTAGTAGTGTGTGAGGTTAACTTCACTGTCTTTTTTTTTTTTTGTCCTCTCCTGGAGAAGCATGTGCCTTTGGAAAGCACACTAGACCAAAATCAGGTAAGAGGAAATAATTTGGAAACTTTAGTTCCTCTAAGTCCTATACAAGGGCTGATAAGTATGACCTAGGTATGTCAGGTGGACTTTCAATAGGCTTGGATTTAAGCTGAGACAGAAGTTACCACTGGAGCTTTTGGCAAATTTTATAAATTCTCTGAGCTCCCGGATGCTAATTTGTAAAGTGAAGATAAGGATACTTTGCTCATATGTTGTTTAAAAACATTAAATTGAACTTAGAACAGGTGACACACACAAGTTGTCCAATAAATCCATCTGTGATAATAGTAACCACACTTTATTGGTGTTCTGTGCCCAGGCCTTTACTCAATGCCTAATACATAACATGTGCTCAATAAATATTTTATCAATGATTAAAGGTTGGCAAGTTAAACCTGGTAATGGAAAGATGTAGAAACTAAAATTCAATCAGTCGTCTGTAGTTAGTGTGGAGTCTTAGTCTTCTGAACCAATAGTTAACAGTAACATACTGGAGGATGCAAAAGGACAGGTAATAAATTGATGGGAGGAGATTGTGTGTTATCTAACAAAATGGGAACTAACACTTAGACCCCACCAACCTCACTCACCTGCTCTTCTCCAACTCAGAACTCAGGAGAAAGGAGATGGACGTGAAGATGTACAGCCAAGAAGAAAGAAAGGACTGTGTGTACCAAGAGGTCACCGAGCCCCAGGATGATGACTACCTTTGTAAGTGACCCTCACTAAGAAGCAAGTTATGATACAATAATTTCATTTAGTCCTTCCTCTAGTGATCTGGAGTACAGGGTTGAGACTCAATGATGTCAGTGCAGGACTCCCTCTGAAGCTCTTTGTGTCCAGGAACATGCGCTACACCTTCCCTAACCCCTGTTGCTCTCGCCTCCAGATTGTGAGCAGTGTCAGAACTTCTTCATCGACCCCCTGCATTTGTAAAGGACACTGCAGTTGACGAGGGCCATCCCCACCGCTCAGCCCTCACCCTGCCCCCTGGGTTGAGAATCGGGCCATCCGGCATCCCTGAGGCTGGGCTTGGAGTGTGGAATGAGGCAGCTGATTTGCCAGTGGATCTGCACTTTGGCCCTTATGAAGGACACATCACAGAAGATGAAGAGGCAGCCAAGAGCAGATACTCCTGGCTGGTGAGAACTATTTACCTCTTCCACTGTCCTCTGGCTTCCCACATTCCTTCTGAGGCTTGGAGGGACCTCACCTCCTACATGCTAGACATGGAGGGAACAATATGGTTAGCTCTGAATACTGACTGGACTTCACATGAACACAGAGCTCCTGTTTAAGGATCAGAAGGTAAGTGGGAGCAAAGTGGTGCAGACACAAAGGAGTGGCTCCTCCCTTGTGGGGCTCCTGCTCTGATTGGACAGGTAGACTCAGGTGTGTAGGTGATGAGTAAGAAAAATTATCATGTGGTCACAACTGGCAGGTGAATCGCCATGCAGGCTGAAAGAGCTTTGATGACAGTATGGTAAAATAATTCCTCTGAATATAACCTCCCTACCAAAAAAAATAAAAAGTCTTTAACCTTTGTTCTGAAACTCAGATCGCCAAAGGGAGAAACCGCTATGAGTATGTAGATGGGAAGGACAAATCCTGGGCCAACTGGATGAGGTGAGGTCGACAGGTCTCTGGGTGCCAGAAGGCACACTCATCCCCCACAAGCTCATATATCTGTCCCTCTCATCATGCCTCTCTCAGTGGTCTCCCTTAATCCTTTTTTCCCTCTTTTTCTCCATACACTGTTCTTTCATTTCAGGGGACTTTGAGGAAAAAAGTATAGTGTATGTCCTCAAAATATACAGTTTTCTGCTAGATACCATCTGGATGCTGGAAAGGTCCTTGAAGAGCCTAGATACACCAGGGCCACTGGATTACACTTTAATTTATCAAATGAACATTAATTAAGCACTTACTACATTCCAGTTTAGATGAAGGAATATAACATTACTTAAACAGATCACACAACCCATGTCCTTAGGAAGGACTTCTTATAGGCAGACATAAAACAATTGCTTTTAGAAACATTTAACTATAATTCCCAAGAAGTGCACAATGTCAAGATAGCACATACTAAGGGTGGCCTAAATTTGTGAGGGCAGCAAACTATCCTGACCTCACTTCTAAGTAGAACTGAGTTCTGAGGCCTGCAGAGGAATGGTCATGGGCCCCTTTCCTGAGAGGGGCTCTCTTTTATCAGGGATAACAGAATGTGAATCAACTACTATTGTTCTGATTTATCGTACTAAAGCAAAAAGACCTCCAGTTTTCTATGGTAATCTTGGGCAAGCAAGTGAATGATACCCTAAGTAAAGTGTAGGGGGGTCAGAGAAGGGCCTCTCAAGAGAAAAGAGATGTGGGCTGAGTACTGGATAATTACTGAGCTAATTTAGCAGAGCCCTAGATCTAACACCAAGTTCTGTGGTGTGAGACAACTTGATTGAGAGTTTGGAGAAGCCAGAGATCACTGGATATTATGGCCAGTCAGGGTGGAGGTTAAGTCTAGAACTGGGTTTTAGAAAATGGTATTAGGCACGATGAACACTGCAAGCAAGACTTGGTGATAGGAATTCACATGACATGCTGGCAGATGCTCAGACACTGAACATAAGGTTCCCCGGGAGCATTAGGGGCAGTGGGCAACACTGGGCCTGAGGGCCTTAAGAATCAGTGAGGAGCTGGACATGGATGTAACAGGTACTGGGAACTCATCACCATGGTTTTCTTTCCCTTTAACTCAATCCCAGGTTTGTGAACTGTGCCCGGGATGATGAAGAGCAGAACTTGGTGGCCTTTCAATACCACGGGCAGGTTTTCTATCGAACCTGCCAGGTTACCAGCGGGGGCTGTGAGCTGCTGGTCTGGTTCGGGGATGAGTATGGCCGGGAGCTGGGCAGCAAGTGGGGCAGCAAGTGGAGGGGAGAGCCTGCAGCTGGGAGAGGTGGGCACCACTGTTCTTCAAAACGGAAAGAAAAGAGAGAATTCTTTGTAGAAATATTCATGATCCAACTGTTAAGTAGAGTAAAATCCACTCTAAAGTCAGTAAAGTTTCAAATTACATACTTCAGAAATTGACAATGTATTCATATGCCTTTAACTCTTAGGCAAAATATTTATATTAATATTTTAAAAATACTTCATGCCCAAAATATACAACTGCTTTTAGTGCTAAAAGGCTGAAGGACAAAAAAGTTTTTAAGCACTAACCAGCTCTCCCACCAAGGCAGTTCTGACATTTTTATAGCTGTTTTTTCTTAATTTTCCGCCATCCTTCTAAATAAAACATTTCTTATAGGCATTATTATGGATTGAGTGTCAGCCTGGGAACCAAAGGGTTGCTGATTCTCAGTCAGGGCACATGCCTGGGCTTTGGGCCAGGTTCCCAGTAGGGGGTGCTCCAGAGACACCCACACATGGATGTTTTTCCCTCCCTCCCTCCCTCCCTCCCTCCCTCCCTTCCCCTTTTCTGAAAATAAATAAATAAACTAATAGGTCAAATCTTTTTTTAAAAAGATATAATTTAAGCCCTGGCTGGAGTAGCTCAGTGGATTAAGCGCGGGCCTGCAAACCAAAGGATCGCGGTTCAGTTCCCAGTCGGGGCACATGACTGGGTTGTAGGCCAGTTCCCTGCAAGGGACACATGAGAAACAACCATACATTAATATTTCTCTCCATCTCACCTACATTGATATTTCTCACCATCTCTCCTTTTCTTAATCTTTAAAAAAAATATTTGATTTATTTTTACAGAGTGGAAAAAAGGGAGAAAAACATGAGCGTGCAAGGGAAACAATCAGTTGTCTCTGGTATACCCACAACTGGCCCACAACCCTGGCATGTGCCCTTGCTGGGAATCAAACTTGTAACCTTTCAGTTTGTGGGACAACACCCAACCCACTGAGCCACACTGTTCACACAGTACATTCGTTCATTATTTCAGTGAATTTTCAGGTGAGGTCGTGATTCATGGCACACAGGGTGGTGGGACCTAGAAATACAGATTAACATGAAGAGAGAATCACTGCTCTTGAGGAGCTGACGGGTGAAGGAGGGAAACCCAGGCACACGAGCTTGCATGTGTATAACACCACACAGTGGTTAGTGCTTTGGAGAAAACGAATTCAGGACAAGTGCCTGGGGATCCGTGTGAGGGAAGGTGCACTGTGGCAGGTGGTCTGGGAAGGGCTGCTCAAGAGGTAACATTTACAAAAATACCGTCGGGCAGAGGATCCCAGGCAGAGGGAGCAGCTAGTGCAGGGAAGAAAAGAGGTGGGGTGTTGAATGTGCTGAGGGTTAACTCGAGTCTCAGCTCAGCATAGAGGGTCAGAACAGAGATCAGACAGATACTTAGCCCAGCAATGCAGTGCCAATGATCTGAGTTGAGACACTGGGGACTTTCCTGAGTAAAAGTGTGCAGTCAGCTGTAGAGTGGTGTGTTTTCTGTTCTGATTATGCTTTGCTAATCTTTAGAAAATAAACTCCATTGAGGAATCCCCTCATATTAATTACTTCATCTCCAAGTGAGAGAGCATGGTGGATTGGCCAGATAGGAACAGGAGTCAGGTTTGTAAGAAATGTAGTTGAAATATTTTGAAACTGGTCTTAGTGTATTTGAAATGGGCTAACACTAAATGAGATGAAGCATAAATATTTGGTGTGAGGCTTGAGGGAAGGACATTTCATTTTACTATTTTGGAAAACTGAGAGAAGCAATTACTAGTTAGGGCCTGTGGTTTTCCTCTTTAACATGACTTAGAAGACACCTGTAGATGAGAAAGGTCACTGCAGTTCCATCCACACAGGGAGTAAAATGGCCTCCCATGCTCCTCCAAAGTCCCTAGTCTGGGCAATATTAGAAAAAATCATTGATGTGGGCTTCCTGGATTTCTGAAGAAGATGCACTGCATAAAAATAGACTGCGAGCAGACACTGTGGGAGACAGCTTTCATTGTTACCACAGTAAGAATGATTAATGGGGCAGATGTTACCAGGAGACTAATCATATGGCCCAGGCATTCTCATCAACATCTGCCCTGACCAAACCTTTCTCTTTCAGCGGAACCAAAGCCAGAGATGCACCCATGTCCCTCCTGCTCTCTGGCCTCCTCCAGTCAGAAATTCCTCAGCCAACATGTGAAACTCAATCATCCCTCTCAAATTCTCCCTGGATCATCTTCAAGAAAACAGGTCCAAGCAGAGGAACCCTGCCCAGAGGATCAGAATCAGCAGCACCAATGTACTAATACACACACCTGGAATGATAAAACTGAAGGTCAAGAAATCAAAGAAAGGTCCAAACTTTTGCTTTAAAGGATCAGTCAGGGGAGAATCTCAAGACCCTTTTTGCAGCCTTCCAAAGAACAAATTAGGAGCTCTACTCAGCATGAGATAGTGATGGAGGAAGAACCCTATAGAGGCCAGAAAGAGAGTCCAGAGGGCACAAGCAAGTTATTCGTGAAAGTAGGAATGTCAAGAATTATACCAATCAAGTATGGAAAGTGTTGGAAAGGCTTCAATGATAGGTCCCATCTCCTTAGAGAGCAGAGGTCACACTCAGGGAAGAAGCCCTATGTTTGCAGGGAGTGTGGGCTAATCTTTACCTGGAAGTCACATCTCATCAGACACCAGAAGACACACTCAGGGGAGAAGCCCTATGTTTGCAAGGAGTGTGGGCGAGGCTTTACATACAAGTCATCTCTCATCCGACACCAGAGGACACACTCAGGGGAGAAGCCCTATGTTTGCAGAGAGTGTGAGCGAGGCTTTATACAGAAGTCAGTTCTCATCAGACACCAGAGGACACACTTGGGAGAAGCCCTATGTTTGCAGGTGGACTCAGTGAGTCATTGGCATTAAGTAGCATATCAACAGCCATAGGAAGTCTAGGGTCCCTTAGTCTCCCAAGATTATAATTAGTACAGAAGTAACTGGTTAAACAAACCCTCCATTTTCATGACGAGATGAGATGGACAAACAGTTCCACGAGTGATATGGAAATGTCAGCACCAGCCTCCTTCATGGGTTTTTGACGTCCTATTACAACAAGTTTTGTCTCCATACAAATATGAAGCCCACATCCCACATTCCCACATCACTGAAAGCAGAGAGTTCGGGAAGAGCCACAAAGAAAAACAAAAAAAAAAAAAACCTCACTCTCAGCCACAGAAATTCGACTCCTGCAAATGCATGAGTCTTTAGTCAGTCTAGTTTGGTTCCTGCCCAGGGAGAGGGAATTGAGACAGACTCACCAGGGAAGGGAATTCCCCAGACTCCTGGGGGGTGGGGACTTTTCTGCAAATAGGCTCCCAACCCTCCTCCCTTGGCTTCTCTTGGCTTTTGTAGTTTCCTACAACCTCTGGAGCCTCAGAGGTGAACGGCAGGCAGGGGTATATGCTTTTGCACAGATGTGAGCCTGGCTCATTCTGGGCACCTGTTCTTCCTCACTCCATGCTGCTTCTTCAGGGTCAGCATTTCCTGCTGCAGAGCACACACATTCCACATCAGTCCATAGTGGTTGAGAGTCTCAGCTCTGTCTTCTCCAGCTGTGTGACCTAAGGCAAGATTCTCAACTTCTCTCTGCCTGCTTCCTAGTCTGTGCAATGGAAATGGGAACTCCGCCTTTCGGTTTGACATTCAAAGTTGAGTCAGCACAGACAGACTCTGACAAGAGGATCGCTGAGATTACAAGTCCTGCTGAACAGCCTTCAGTGCCTGTCTTCTGCAGCTTTAGTGCTGGACAAAGGAAGATAAGGACAGGGTAGAGATCTGCAGCCAAATTCAGAACAGGAGCAGACCCCACTGCTTTCCCTACATAGACTCAGCTGCCCTGAGAAGGAGGCCAGAGGGGTGATGTGCTTCCCTCCAGGTCACCACCCTGCTACTAACCCTGCACACCCTCATAACCTCAGCACAGGCAGGTGGGACTGAGAGTGACCTGTGAAACAAGACCCTTGGCTACTTTTTGCTGAGAACTGACACGGGGGGAACAGCCTCTGCCTGCACTAGTGTGTTAGGTGGGATAGATGGTAATCCAAGGCAGGGAGGACGAGGAAGGTATGTGTCACCCACTAACTCAGGAGTCCTAAGCCTGGTCCAAGTCTATCGTCAGATGGTCCAAATCACAAGAAATACCATGCTCATGTGTTGAAATTCTAGGTATCATTTCTAATATCTGGCCAAGAAAAGCTTTGAAACTATTTCAAGCCCTAGAAGATGGAGGGAGTCCATAGCACTCAAGGTAAGGATCCATAAAACAAATTTGGCTAATTGGCTCTGGCCAGTGTCTGTCTTATGAGAGGGTCCCTAGTGCTTACAGAAAGAGCCCATAGGTAACTTTGGGTAATTACCTCAACTTTAACTCTCCTGTCACGTATCTCTTTTACAAAATAACCAACTGAGGTCTAAAGCGAGATATGGATTCAGCTAACAACCCCCATACATACCCACGTCCCCCATGTAAGCCAGCACCACTTTTACCCATCAATCAATATGTAACTTCTTCACCCCCATCCCAACTATATGTCCTCAGGACAAAGGACCTGGTGCCCTTGCCACCCAAGCTCTTGTCTTTCACCCCCATCTCAGAAGACCTGTCCTCTTCCATGAGAATGTGTCACTAATAAAACCTTGTTTACACACTAATACACTTGCTGATCTGTAATCCTTACTGCATTGGCAAGAAGAACTGAGTTTCTTCTGTGACAGGTGCACCCAATCTGCATGTGGCAATTCATGAAGCTCACAAGGTAGCAGCTACTATAATGCACTTTCCTTGTACCTGGGTCCCACAGGGCTTCATACACTACTGACACCATCCCAAAATTATTACTTATTGTATCTCTAAACTTGTTTGTGAAGTCTGATGGGATAATGGACATGCACAATGTTGGTCATTCTTGGCCACCCATTCACAGATAATGTCCATAATGGCCCAAGAGCACGAAATTCATATGGACCCAATGGGTGGGAGTCCAGTGAGACTCAGGGTGAGAACAGGGTAAACATCTACATCTGCATAAGCAAGGGTGCTAACAGCTCCCAGAGGTCACACTTCCTAAAACCAGAGCAGGATTCAATACAGAGAGATGGTCAATTAGTGCGGACACCATCATAAACTCTCCTGCATGAGGGAAACCTAAACATGACCCACCCTGTTCCTGCTGGGGAAGGTTCACAAAAGGGGGACACCCACCCTCATGAACTGGAACAATGACCTTTCTGTCCTCCCAGTGCCAAGCTTGTAAAAAGTGTCTACATAAACTACGTGGATTTCAATAAGGAATATCCACTATTATCTTCTTTTTAATGGCTTAAGAGGAAGATGTGTGTCTTTCTTGGGATTTGGTTCCCTTCCCTGTTTCTCACCCTACCAGCAAAGCCCAGAGAGAACACCATAAGCTCAATATTCTGTGGCTTTCAGCATGGGCCATGGGGGAGGGCCAGAGTCCTGCTGTAATGCTGGCAGAGGGGCTGGCACTGAAATACAGTGGGGAGGGGAACCCACAGACTGCCATGTGAGGGTCACCATGACCCGCACGAGGACAGACCCTGGAGCTCTCCCAGAAGGCTTAGTGATTCAAGATGAATAGACAGGTCTGTTCCCTCTCCCTCTCAGCAGCAAACCACATTCCTAGTGTAGCTGTCAGCCTCCAAGGTGTCCCCCAAACCCACACGCTATCACCCCTGACCTTGTACAGTCCCTCCTTCACACAACCAAGCTCATCTGTGTTGTGAAAATGGCGTGTGGCTCTCAAAGCTAAGTCATAAACAGGCCCTTTTGTTTCAGCCTTACTTGCATAGTTCACACTGTCAAAGACCACCTTGTGCAGGGAGCTGGGTGTTTACACACCCCTCCCTCCCACCTGCCAGGGGCTGGTAGCATCCATCCTTGTTTTGAAGTGGAGGCTCCAAGGTGTGAGTATAGCCTGACATCTGCTGGATTCTGCATCTCTTGTCCTTGACAGGCAGCTGAAGTCACTGTCCTGTCCCTGTAACAGCTGGTGGGCCTCCAAGGCCCCTGCAACTGCACCTGCTGGCTTCCCAACTCCTTTACATGACACTGTGATAGACCTGGAATGGGCAGGTGAGTAGTCCTTGCACAAAAATGATACCAGTTACTGAGGTAACAAGACTGTGTGGCCACCTGCCTCCATCACACACTGACTCTGTGACTACAGTGGCCACTGCAGCTATGGCCAGCCCAACCTGGTTTATGATCTTATTGTCTGCCACCCAGGTAAGGGAGCTGCAGGTTGGCTTGGGGCCATAGCTGAGCAGGTGAGGGGATCCCTGGACAGAATGGTCAGCCACAAATACTGAACAACTCACTGCCCTCCACAGCTGGGGGCAGGTAAGCCCTTCTGAAATTTGCAGATTTGTCTTGTCACCCAGATCCTGCACTGTCTGTTCTTGGTCTGGCCCCAGGTCTGGCCCCAGTCCTAATTGCCCCAGACAGTGTCTGACAAGCCTCTGAGAGCCACCCTTGGGGATGTATGTCACCCACAGATGCTGTCTTCAAAGATCAGACTCCTTAAAAGTTACTTAAAAAAGCTTTTATAAAAATAATTTTTAAAGTAAGAGATAGTTAAGCTCATCACTCTGAGAAAACTCCTGTAACATTTTGAAATTTGCACTTTAAGAAAAAAATTGCATTTTCTTTTGCAGACTCTCATAATTGATGGGGACATTATTGTGTTTTGTTTTCTTTTCAAATATTTTAAAATATATTTTATTGATTATACCATTATAGTTGTCCTATTCCCCCCTTCATTCCCCCCTTTTGTTTATGTCCATGTGTCACAAGTTCTTTAGATTCTATATTTCCCATACTATTCTTGCCCTCCCACTTGTTTATTTTCTACCTACCATCTATGCTATTTATTCTCTGTACCTTCTCCACGCTTTTCCTCCTCCCACTCCCCTGTTGCTAACCCTCCATGTGATCGCCATTTCTATTGTTCCGCTCCTGATCTAGCTGTCTTCTTAGTTAGATTTTGTTTTACCTGTGGTTGTTAATAACTGACTGCTGTCCTTTCACTGTTCATATTATTCATCTTCTTTTCTTAGATAAGTCTCTGTAACATTTTATATAATAAGGGCTTGGTGATGATGCACTCCTTGAATTTGACCTTATCTGAGAAGCACTTTATCTGTCCTATTCTAAATGAAAGCTTTGCTGGATAGAGCAATCTTGGTTGTAGGTCATTGGTTTCCATGACTTGGAATACTTCTTGCCTCTAAGGTTTCTTTTGAGCAATCAGCTGACAGTCTGATGGGGACTCCTTTGTAGGTGACTTTCCCCTTATCTCTTGCTGCTTCTAGGATTCTCTCTTTTGTTTTAATCTTGGCTAATGTAATTATGATGTGCCTTGGTGTGTTCCTTCTTGGGTCCAACTTGTTTGGGACTCTCTGAGCTTCCTGGAATTCCTGGAAGTCTATTACCTTTGCCAGGGTGTGTAAGTTCTCTTTTACTATTTGTTCAAATAAGGTTTCCACTCGTGACTGTTCCTCTTCCCCTTCTGGTACTCCTATAATTCGGATGTTGGAGCGTTTAAAGATGTCCTGGAGGTTCCTAAGCCTCTCCTCATTTTTTTGAATTCTTGCTTCTTGACTCTTTTCTGTTTGGCCATTCTTTTCTGTTTGGCCATTTTTTTCTTCCTTCTGGTCTGCTCCCTTGATTTGAGTCCCAGTTTCCTTTCCATTACTTTTGGTTTCCTGTGCATTTCCATTCATTTCAATTAGTTTAGCCCTCATATGTTTTTCTAATTTGTGTCCAAAATCAACCAGTTCTGTGAGCATCCTGATCACCAGTGTTTTGAACTGTGCATCTGATAGGTTGACAATGTATTGGTCACTTAGAATTATTGGCTCTGGGGCTTTGAGCTGTTCTTGAGCCATGTTCACACCTGTTTTGGTCGGTTCACACCTGTTATGTATGAGGGGCGGAGCCTTAGCTGTTCACCAGGGCGGGGCAACCCAGGTCACTGGGTTGTGACTGTTGAGATCTGGGAAATTGAGAACATAGCCTGACCACAGCAAAACAGGAACAAGGAACAGCATGCAAACAAAGGCTCAGCAGACATCCTGCAGTATGTGAGTGCCCTACTTAGAGCCAGATAGGCAGATTGTAATCTGTTTAATTTTGAATTTTGAAACCCCACCCTGTTCCCTCGAGAGGTCTCTGTCAGCAAATAGCTAACTGCCACGTCTGCTTCTGTTCAACGCTTGCTTGCTTGTCCCTATATAAGGACTTAGCTATAAGCGCTTGGCGCGACTCTCATCTGCAGCCCTTTTGGGCACCATGTCTCTGGACACCCCGAGAGTTTGCCCCTGTGCAGGTTAAGCTTGGCCAATAAAATAAGATTAAAACCCTGAAAGGTCTTTGAAAATTATTCTCACGTCCGGTGGATATAACAGTGACGCTTATGTGGAGTGGGGTCAGAGAGGGTCAATGGTGTTTGTTCTGCTCTCTCTCAGATTTCTGTCCCCTCTACTGCTTCCCACAAGCAAATTGGGTGCTTCTGGTGCTGGTTCCCGGGTGTGTGGGCTTGTGTATGTTCCAGGACCCTGTGGGTCTCTCCAATGAACTCTCCTGTGAGGCTGGTAGCCTCTCCCAGCACCTTGACCCTGAAAGTCTTTCCAATTGGTGCTTTCAGGCTCCAATTCTCATCCCTGGCCCCCTAGCCTGAGTGGTCTGTCTCACTGGTCGCTCCTTCACTTGGTTTATCTGTGCTCAAATGTGTGACCGTGGTCAGCCAGCTGC